GCCAAGTCAAGTTCACGAGTCGTATATATTTCGGTGTTTTTTAACATTTAACAGATCACTTTTCAGACCTCCAATGGCACAGCTGTAAGTCTGAGGACTTATAACGCTAAACATCATGTTTCTATACTTGCTGTGGGCGCAGCAAATATAACCTATTGTGTAATCTTGTGCTTAACAACAGATAAACAAACCTACTTTTTAGTTTTAATCCAAATTATATTTAGCTATATTTTGATCGGTGCACATAACGATTTATTCCAGTCATACTTTTGAAATAGTTTTCATCTTTAGAAGTTAAAACACAGTATATGTCTTTTTTTAGCTCACTAACTTTTTTTACGCAGGGGTAAGGATGTACAGGGTGGACAAAACTAAGCTTATATATTTTTTGCCTTTGTAGCATGATATCTTTGTTATCCACATCTTAATCTTATTGATTTTTTTACTTTAATGTGAGCAGCTGTAATTCAGACATCTTATATTTCAAGACAGATCTCTGCAAAGCATTAAACCTGTCACAGTTCTCCTTTTTATTTTCTAGAAGAATAATTTCCTGGCGTTTAAGATGTAGTTTTCTGCATATACCTGTTCCGTACAAGGTCAGTTATGATCTATTTTCCTGCTAAACCGTCTAGTGCCACTCTAATTATTAGGTCATGTTCTCGGTTCTGTACTTTAACTTTTCTGTTCCAATTTTCTTTTTCTTTCATGACATTTTTGATTTAGGTCCTCCACATTACTTTCCTCTCTTTCAGTGTTTCTTTAAGTTTTTAAACATCAATTATACAGCGGGAAGTCCGTGGACTTATAACGCTAGAAACCGGGTTTCGATACCAGTTATGGGCACAGCACAGATAGCCCATTGTATAGGTTTGTGTTTAACTACATACAAACAAGCCTCTACATTTTTAGTCAAATTTCTTTGTTGGGGTCTTTTCATGTAACTTAATATTTATAATGTTCTAGAAATTTGCTATAAATATCAAGTTCACTGGACTGTTTTTCTGAATTTCTTCACCCATTGTTAAAATACTTTAGTCTTGTAGGTATTTAACTGTCAGCCCATTTAAAATAACAAATTGTTATTTATTGGATTTTTCTTTGGTTACTTGGGATTTATAGAGGACTCAAAGATATGATGTAAAAAAAACTAAACTTTTTATTTCATTGGAAAAAATATATATATCGTAACAAGCTCATTACAATAAAAGTTTATAACTGGATAAAACAAAATTGCTGATGTTTCTCTACTTTCAGACATTAATTCAAAACATGTAAGCTATTTCCAAACAATTATGATTTCAATTAGGCCAAATTTCAGTAATTGTATAGCTGGTAGTAAGTTGGCACTGTGTTTGGAGGAATACTAATAAAAAAACTAAACCAGTTCATAACCACTTTAGGTGGCTTAGTTGGTAGTTCCATTCTCTGTCTTTTCTGGGATGTCTCCAGTGGTCTCTTTGCCAGTGGCGCCTCGAAAGCTACGGCAATGTAAGTCCATCATAATCATCAAGTAGGCCCTGCTCTCGAAGTCGAAACTCCCTCATTGATGACAGGAACCAATGAACTAACTCTCTGGTTCGTCTGCATTACCTTCACTCTGATCTTCACAACATTGGTGTATCCTACCCATCTTCTATCTTCTCCGGAATCGGACGTCCCTCAAGATGCTCCTAGCACTGAAAAGCACTTCATGGGCTTAAGGATGTAGTAGCTTCATGGCCTTTATCAACCATTGCGGGAAGCTTAGCCCTTTCAATCAGAAGTCTTCTAACTACCTGACCTTCCTAGCTTTTAACATTCAGGTATAAATTACCACATTACAGTATGCATCACCAGATAGTTTGGAAAGCAAGGAATGCTAATTCCTTTAATTCATCAGATTCTCAACATAATGGTCGTCTTAGTTGTAATAATCAAGCAGTAACCGTACCTTTTTTTTGTCATTACTCGGGGCTTGAAAAGTAAGTGATTGCTACACCCTTTTGGTCAGTAGTCTTCCAATTACCTGACCATTCTAGCTTTGATGATCAATTCCATCTATATCAATGTTCGCGTGTCGTCTGTTGGTTGGAGCTGGTAGTTGATTCCAGCTCTAGCAAATCTTCATCTGGTTCGGCAAAGACTACCAGATCAGTATCTACAGTCTTCTCTCCATTGTTGAGATGATGTCACCACATTGAAGCATCCGTTCTTTCATTATCTGGCCATAACATTGCTCTTGTTGTTAGGCAAATTCATCGTTGATCTTAGCCTCTCCACATACTCTTGGAAACACTGATGAACTTCTCCTCGTGATGGAGGACAACATGTAATGTCCACAGGGAGTAACACTTCCTATCCAAACATGAGGAGGTTTGGTGAACATCCTATTCGACTGCTTTATATGCCATCATTATATATATGCTAAATTTTCATCCTAGTTGGTTCTATGGAGATTAACAAACTTCGAAAACATCCATTTGGTAGTCTGTATTGCCTATACTGCCAAACCACCAGACTGTAGTGATAAGGTGAAGTGTGAGTTTTCACCACGTCTAACACAACTCAGCAAACAGTTGATTGTTGAAGTTGGCTCCATGGTCCATCTGGATCTCTTCCAGTGCTCCAAATATCATGTTATCCAGTTCTCGAGTAACATCTGTGACAGTTTATGCGAGGATATCGATCAATAGATACACTTCGGCCAACTTCATGAGGATATGATACCCTATAATCCGAGTGCTTTCGAAAGGCAGACCTTTCTTTTTCAGAGGCAAACTGAAGAAGAAAGGTCCACCTTTCAAAAGAGCTCAGATTATAGGGTATCTTAGCTTTGTTTTTAATTGATTTTTTTGGGCCTACTTCATGAAATAGTCAATGACAATGACTTTGTAGTGATGGCATAGTGCACTTTCCAGGAGTGGATCAGAAATATCTAGAGATATCCTCATCAGAGGAATTCACTGTGTCTCAGCCAGTTTTCTTCTGGGTGGCACAAACCATACAGTATTCATGCCACAGAGCTCGAAGAATTACTAGCTGCAACACGTTTTGCGGACTGGTAACAATGGTATCACATAACATATTATTGCACTGCTCTTACAGATGCCACATGTAGTGTGCATCCATGTTATACTCCTTTGGTAGTTCTGGGCTGGCCTGACCTTGCAGGACAACAATAATTACCCATGTTAGATCAGGATCCTTCAGTTGTTCCTGAAGCACTAACTTTCGATGGAGTCGTTTTCCTCATGGTGGGCTCTTGTTATAGCCAAAGCGGCCATGGTTTAAACTCACACATGGTGTCCAGGATTAGGACATTACACGGACAATGGACAAGGTCCGTCTCTCCGTGTGGCTAGACAGTCCATACGTGTTTCTGTGTTGTGAGCATGGTTAATGAACTATGATAAAATCATATGCTTACAAAGTTGTTGTCCAACATGCTCGCATCTCTTTTAATGAACTATGATAAAATCATATGCTTACAAAGTTGTTGTCCAACATGCTCTCATCACTTTTAATGAACTATGATAAAATCATATGCTTACAAAATTGTTGTCCAACATGCTCTCATCTCTTTTAATGAACTATGACAAAATCATATTATTACAAAGTTGTTGTCCAACATGCTCTCATCACTTTTAATGAACTATGATAAAATCATATGCTTACAAAATTGTTGTCCAACATGCTCTCATCTCTTTTAATGAACTATGACAAAAACATATTCTTACAAAGTTGTTGTCCAACATGCTCTCATCACTTTTAATGAACTATGACAAAATCATATTCTTACAAAATTGTTGTCTCTAACATGCTCTCATCTCTTTTAATGAACTATGATAAAATCATATGCTTACAAAGTTGTTGTCCAACATGCTCTCATCTCTTTTAATGAACTATGACAAAAACATATTCTTACAAATTTGTTGTCCAACATGCTCTCATCACTTTTAATGAACTATGACAAAATCATATTCTTACAAAGTTGCTGTCCAACATGCTCTCATCCCATCCGGATTTTTAAAGTTTACTAGCTTTACTTCAGCAATTGCAGCACGGAAAACGAACAACCGAAAAATTTCTATAGCAGGTAGAAAATATATGATAGGCCCGCTTATCATAGTTGTGACATCATTTCTAATGGTGAAAGTTCATAATTGGTTTACACAATTATTTGAAATGATTAAAGTTGATACTAGATTTATACGCTCATTTATAATAAATAAAGTTGATAATTGACTCATATAATTATTTGAAATGATTAAACTTGATATTTGATTTGTACAATAATTTGTAATAATGAAATTCACACTTGAGTTGTGCAATTATTTGAAATGGTTAAACCTCATACTTAATTTGTATAATTAAATCATTGTAATGATACTTCTTTTAACGACAGTTTCAATTTACTCTTTGATAGCAATCTTTGTTCCATTAGGCTTAAGCAGTGGAATAATAATGAGACGGCTTGAATGGGTAATGAAGAAATTAAGCAGAGGAAGACTATGAAAAGGTTATGCCTACAACGTGTATCCTTACACAGATGTATTACAATGAAATAACAAAACTGTAATGTAATTGAAAAGATGTAATTAACTCTTAAACAGTTATGAAATTACCCTTCGTTTGATAGGTAAACAAATATTTCTATTTGTAGCATAATTTAACAATTTTTTTCTACTTCTAGTAAACAACTGATACTCGGTTCTGATACTCAGAAATTCGAGCAAATCTACACAAAGCTTATAGCCTAATTGTAAACTGATGGACAAGAGGGATGACAGCCAGTCATCAACACCCTCCACCAACTCTGGGACTGCTCTTTCTGCCTAATGGTGGGGTTTAATTGCCACTTTTACAAGGCATTACGACTCCAAAGTGCGTAAGGAGCTTTTGCAACAACGAGACGCAAACCACGGGCACTTGAACCACAGTTAGGGCACGGAAACCACACGGCCAGACCCATCTAACAATTAATACATAATTTTTTTGTAGCAAGGTTTAGCAGGGAATTTTATTTGTAGCAAAACAAGCAAACATGTTTTATCTTAAAGAACTAGTGCATTTTAATTTTTAGCATAAAGTAATAGTTATATTTATTTTCTAACGCAACTCAGTACGAAAGCTTTATAAACACTAACTGATATACATTTAATGATACATTTCTGTACGTTTATTTAAAATAATTGAAGGTATCTTTGTGAATGATTAATCTAAACACCCTATTCAAGGGTACTTTTGTGTTCGCTTACTGAACACAATTGGAGATATTTTGTTTACGATTATTTAGACTTTATATGCCTATACTTTTGTGTAAGAACATACAACATTATGTTTATTCGAAAAACAATTTATGGATAAGTTTATGTTTAACGTACATGTTTGAATAAAAGAGTTTATTGTACAACAAACTGATGGATTGAGTTACTTGTCGTACGATTATTTCAAGTTGGATTATGAAAAGGAGATATTTCTATTATAAAATAATGAGATTTATTCAAATACATAATCAAAACGTAAACCGTAGTTTTTTCTAAAACAACACCTATAAAGTAAGTAAATTAAAGAAGACTAAGGGAAAGTTATATTCTTAAATTACTTGGGTATCTAAAATACAACATAAATAATTAATTACTTAAAGTGCCAAGAAAGAAAAGTACATACAATTATTAAGTAGGTCTTTGTGATCTATATTTATCCATAATGGAGTAAGGTAGTATTATGCGATAAATACTACGGTGAAATAACGGTAAAAAATCTTACATCAACAAACATTTACTTTAAACACGTAAAATTATACAAAATGCGTCTTAATCACAAAACGAAACCATCTGAAAGTATAATCCGTGAATTAAAATGTCAACATAAATAAGCTAACTTTTTATAATTTGATCACATGTTAGTAAAGGTAATTTTATGGTGATCTAAGATTTAACTTGTAGCTCATGTGATTTTATTTTTTAACACGTTAACCGATCACACTTCACACACAGACAATGATTCACTGAGTTTAATGAGAATATACCTAACATACATATTTATTTTTTTATTTTAAACAGCTTTCACATATATACTACAAAAACATAAAAATACAGCTAGTAGATTTCACATATATGCATTACAAGATAGGGCAGATTTCATAAAATCAAGAACATGTGTATAAATACGCGCGTGTAATCAACTTTCTTACGTAAGGATGCTAATGGTATTTAATTCTTTTTATTATTGTAATAAAACCTAGACAGTAACATTCATAACTCTCAACAACATCTTAATCCATTATCTGAATACAATTGGAATATACCATAAACATTTAAATTTGATTTCGAATATTGCATATTTGAATGTTAATTAAAACAAGTTTATACTTGGTTTAGCTGTTCAATAATTCAATTAAAAATACTTATTATATGTTAAACTAAACTACTAATCTACAAGGAAACAACTGATGAAAGAGGAAAGCAATTATATTATTGTAATTATCTGTAGAATAGAAAACAACCTGTGCTGTAAAGTTTCGCTTACTTTTTTATTCTCAGTTATATACAACTCACAAATCGTTTGACTAAATGTCATGACTATCACAAAAGCACAAATAAGCTGTTAGATATCCATTTCTGACAGTTTCTACATTTCTTTAAAACAATATACACCACTAAAACACGGAATCACATAAATAGAAAGTTATGGTCATTTCAGATTTTTTTTTTTCTGATTCGAAGAAAATGTTCGTTTTAAAACAAGTTGTTCAGTCGGTTTAGAACACTTTCTTTTTATAAAAATACTTGGTCATTCTGCTGCGGACCAGTTCTGAACTATCTACTGTATCAAGTGAAATATTTGTGAAGCAGTTTCTCTGATTTTGCTTTAATGGTTATAACAATGTGAAAACAGACTACTAGATACTAAAACAACATAACACTACTCACATTTAAGAATTTTAAAATAAAATTAGTTGACAATTTGCCTGACTTTTTAAAATCAGGAATTACATTAAATAGAAAGCTTCGTAAACTGAAATATAAATATTCATCATACTTAATAAGCACGTTTATTGTTTACTAGTCTTCTAGTCTATATATTACATCTAGTGTGGGTGTAGGGTCTGTTATTACCATCCAAACTCCATTAAGCCCTCTTGCGGAAACGGTGCTAAGCAGATTTCCGACAAATTAATTGCAAATGAGCAACAAAAACAATTATGTTCTTCTTTATATACAAAACCAAGTACGTTCTTTAAGATATTTTTTAAGAACAGTCTTAATTCACACAGTAATACAGAGAACGTTGACAAAAACATAAAATTTGTAATTAGTAACATTTTCCTATAGGATAATTTTTGATAGATTTTTATCTAACTTTAATATTCGGGAGAAAAAAAAAGAGAAACGATTTAAGAGCTATTAGAATAGATTTATGAAAACAGTTAAACCTTCCTCCAACAGTTTAGTATTTTTATGTAAATACTGTTTATTTTATTTGAAACAGTTTTTGTATGTATTTCTTGTATTTACGAGAAAGCTATTAAGGCTATCTACCACCGTCCCTAATTTTAAGCTACTGACCAGAGAGAAGGCAACCAGTCAGCAGCACCCTACCATCCATCAGTCACGCTAAGGGATTAAATATCACTCTTATAACGCGCCCACGAATTAAAATAGGGGGAAGATTATGTAGTATCTGACGGATTCGAGCCCGGCTCGGCAGCTCAAAAATCCAGAGATATACGACAGGGCGAACCTGCACCCCCAAATTATTGACTAAAAATATGTGGACTATGTAGTGTTTTTACTTATAATTATCCTAACAAAAGACGAAAAATAATTATTAAAGTACAAGAAAGAAATAAACAAACGAGAAAATAATAGTAATAACATGATATGTGGTACTAATGTTTAGTGGAAACAGAAAAGTGCGTTATTTACCATAGGTTTGTAAGTTATACCAAGTTTACAGTACATAACGAATATGAGAGATGTTGGAGACAAAATTTCAGAGTTGTTTTGTCTACTGATTAAAATACATTTATGAGTAGTGGTGTCGTTATATATATACAGTTGAACGATCTTGTAGCATGCCCAAAAGAGTGATCATTTTGCTAGTTGAGCTCACATCTTATATAAATATTATTTTAATCATTTTTATCATCTACAGTTGTTCTATTTGATACAGTGCTTCCATTCACTCTTCTTTCCTCATCAAGCCACCGATGATGTCTATTGGGATTGGAAATAAGATAGTAGAGTTCTTCTCTGCTGAGATAGAGTTGAGAGTTTGTAGATAACGAAGCTGTAAAGCTGCCGGAGACTGTGCAATGACCTCAGAAGCTTCCATCAGAGCTCGAGATGCTTTTTGTTCCCCTTCGGCTGCAATGACCTGATTGCGAAAATACAAATCTACAGTTGAAAAATGCTATTAAGTTTTTTAATCCTAAAAGGCCACGAAATATTATTATTCGTCGCATGCTACAATTTTTGAAAATTCTACATTGTACACAGCTAAGTTAGGTCACTTATATCTTCATATATAAATATATATCACACGACTGCATGGGTAACATTAAAAAATTAGAGACAAAATAAAATTAGAAACACACCAATCAGCTTAAAGATCTAGACAATGACTAACGTCATATAGGAGGTGCATGACAACATTAAAATCTGCCGAAGCAAAATAACTCTAAGTTGCATACATTTTGTATATCATTTGCTTTCATAAATATTTTACGATATTTAATTTACTATATATTAAGGCAGAAAATATAAAAGCATGACGACTATTTTAATTGTTTGAATTTCGCGCAAAGCTACACGAGGGCTATCTGCGCTAGCCGTCCCTAATTTAGCAGTGTAAAACTAGAGGAAGGCAGTTAGTCATCACCACCCACCGCCAACTCTTGGGCTACTCATTTACCAACGAATGGTGGGATTGACCGTCACATTATAACGCCTCCACGGCTGATAGGGCGAGCATGTTTGGTGTGACGAGGATTCGAACCCGCAACCCTCAGATTGTGAGTCGAGCGCCCTAACCACCTGGCCATGCCGGGCTGTTCAGTACAGATGAACTAGATGTCTTAACATTTTTGGCGATTTATTTACATTTTTTTTTACCCATTTACGTAAACGTTAGGTTTTTTAAATTGTTATTTCATTAAAGCAACAGTTGTATCACTACAAAACTGGTACCATCTTTACTATTGTAATGAAAAATGAAAAGCAATAAAATTAGATGACGAAAAAACGTTATTTTCTTTATATTGTGGGTACGAAGTGAAGCTTTGGTTCCATTACATTTATTCAACTGATTACAAATATTGTTGGACCAATAACAAAATAATATAATTATAGAGTTAACTTATAATCTAACATAAAACAGTACTATTCATTTCGTAGCTTGAGGACTATTTTAAATGTTTGTTTTGAATTTCGCGCAAAGCTACAGTCTTTAGAGTGTTATAATTTTGCAGTTCCTTTGATCCAGAGCTCGAAAAAGAATATCTGTTGGGTACATGAGAGAGACTAACCTTTGCGCGAGCTTCGCGTGCAGCTTCAGCCTCAGCAGCCATGGCACGTTGCAACTGGACTGGCAAACGTACATCTTTGCTATGGGTTACAGTGGAAAACACACAAGAATGAACATGTTAAAAACGGCAATAAGTGTGCAAAAACCAACATAGAAAAACAAGACAGATATTACCTCCCAACACACAGACATACACACATTAGTATTTTTAAAGTTAGAATTTTATAACATTTAATAAAAAGTGCTTTCGTTTTCAACCTAATTAATAATATTTATTTTATCAGCCAAAACAAAGGAATTTTTTATTAACGTCACAAGTTTTTAATGTATTGTATGACGATATAAAATTTTGCTTTCCCCTTTTCATTTCGTTTGAAAACTGGGAATGAAATTTGAACTCTAATTTCACAACTGTTTATCAGGTCAGTAGTATTTCAATTAATTTTCTACATCTATGGATATATAACCTTAGCAATTCAGGACTTTGTAATAAATGTAATTAATGCATATAAGATTCTAAATGCTACACCGCTTCCCTCACCTACCGAATGTCGTATGAAGCGCCGTTCATGTCGAAGTTATAAATTACCGGGAAGACTTGACAAGTTATTATTTTGCTATGTAGAATGAAATACTAGTTAACTTGCTATATTTGTATGTTAAATACGTCGAAACAGAAGATAAATTTATATACTTACCTATCCCTTGGTGTTAAAGTATTTTTCTTATGACTTTCAGACAACGTAATCAAAGTTAGAACTTAGAGATACAATAAGCATAGTTATCTCATATAGAGTGGTATGACTCACATCTCAACTCTTTCCACCTTTATTCCCCAATCATCAGTACATTCATCAAGGACACTCTGCAGAGAAGATGTGCAAGCAAACATCAGATTTATACAGCGGTATAATCAAACAACAGTTTAAAATAACTAAGCCTTGTAGTTTAATGTGTAACAATTAACTTTATTGACATCTACCCCTCATATCTTCTCCATATAAGGCTTAACTCTACTAAGATGTCTGCAGTAAGTAAAGTTATGGCTAATTATTAAATATTGCCGTTTAATTCAATGTAAGCTTACAATATTTTATGATTATTTCATGCTTGATTGAATCCATATTATAAACATATTGTTGCGTCAGCGAGGTCACGTGACTAGTGTCACGCCACTTTTCTAGAAATATCTTGTTCCTTCATGAATGCCCTAGCATTTACTAGATATAGGGTAGTATGGTATATATATAAGATGGTCACAACGTGACGGGACAGCGTGTGTAGGTAGAAAGTAATTGAACTGCAGTCAGAGAGTATTGTTGAAGTTAACGCGTTTGTTTTAGCGCGATTGTTGAAATTAAGTGTATCGTAAAGTTGTATTCCGAAAGAATAAACCAGTTTTATTAAGGAAGGACTTGTGTCGCTAAAGTTTCGTGGGAACGAGGTTACGGAAAATTAATTAACAAACGGAGACGTAACAATATTGACAAAATACATAGCATATTTTGAAGCTCCACACATTTATAAAACATAACATTTAATATATTGTTGTTGCATATGCAGAATGAGCTGATAATACGATGTGTCATATGACTTCTTATTCCCTAAATACACAGAGATTTTTCAGACTTTCGTGGAAGCATGATATTAAATGCTTTTCTAAAGGGTCATTAACAAAGATCCTTTTTTTATGTTGATACTTAAAGACATCTATAACCAGAATTCAGCAAAAGTGGCTGTTGCAAACGAGTGTTTCCATCAACTGCTGGTAACTGACCGATAGACAGCATGTAATGGAAAACAGATGACAGATTGTGTATTAGTTTAAAGGTGTCTTAAACAATGGACAATAATTGACTATCTCTAACAATACCGTGCAAAGGACATAGTAACAAATTTTAATATAGCAGCCAAAAACTCAGCCTGAAAACTGTTTAACAAAATCATGAAAGGACATTATAACAAATGTTATATAACGGCCAGAAAATCAGCCTGGAAACTGTTTATCTTAGATGCAAGTAAGAAATTATGGCTTAAATGTTGCTTCATTCAAAAGCTGTGGACAGTGAATGACTGGCTGCATGCGGTGTTGATTTATGAGACGCGTTTCATCCTCTTTAGTGCTTACAGTAGAATTAATATGCGAAGAAAATTAATTAATATATTTTATGCTACTCGTGTTTTTCCGACAGTGCGAGATGTTGTTGGTGTAATGGTGTGGGGAAAGAGTGAACTGCGTCAAAAGTATCAGAGCGTTGAATACTTTAATGCAACAATATGATGCACACGTTCGAAAAGCATGACACCGATTTCTGTCATTTTAATGCACCAACGAATCTCAATCTGACTGAGTATCATTGGCATGAACTTAAATGGCGCATTCGCTGCTTTAATGATATATATATATATATAAGATAGTCATATGAACTGCGATCCACACCTTTCGATGAGATGGACACAGCTAAACAATCCACCTCTCTCCATCTTGTGGAGTCTTTTCCACGCTAAGTCTAGGTATTGTTGCATATCCTTCCCCATATTAGTTGGAAGTCCAAATAAGTAAGTCTTGATCCGAGATGATTTAGAGCAGGCCCTTATATTCTGAATTATATCTTCAATTATTACACTATTTCTAAGGTTAGGTTTATACCTACTATAAATAACTAATCGCTTGTTTCGTTCTACGTTACCTGCATAGAGTTAGAGATATGTTCTCGCTCAGCCAGTATCTCGTGCAGATTGTGAGTACCGAGCATGTTCCTCAGAGTAGTCTGGGCAAGCAGACTTGTGCTGTGGTGAACGTTCTCCACGTTAGCCACAGACACCGTGGCGTTCTGAACCCGGTAATAAACAACAGCGTCGACCGATATGGTTACCGAATCCTTAGTCAAGACCTGGAATGGGTAAATTAAACATAATTTCAAGTAAAACAACTAAGTTAGACACATACAAACTTGTTACGTTGATGTTTATGCAACTTTCCTTTCTAAAAGCCCCCCCCCCCCCCCCCCACCGTAC